CAGTAGTAGTAGTATTAGTAGTAGTAGTAGTAGTAGTGATAGTACATACTTACTGTGCCTAATGCTTTCCTTGTTTAGAAAATCTCAATATTTGCGCCCGCATGCAACACAAACCTTAAAAGCCATGAGTTACAACACTTGCTTCCACCCAAGAATGTTTCGCAAATTTGTGGTTCTAGCATTCGTGCTGGGGCTCCTTTCAGCTCTCGAAAAGAGACTGATATTGAGCTGAAGCCCTACTATAACCCATGTTAAAACCAATTCCCACAGCTTAATTGTCTCGGCGTCTAAAATAGCGAAAGTTCATATTTCTAAGAAAAAAATTACTATTGCACCAGCACATGCACGTGGGCGACAAGGGCAAATTCAAAGAAAAAGTTTGCAAAACTAGATTTCAGGAGACAACTGTTTAATCTTTATGGAACATGAAACATCTTGCAACCTTAAAAACAGCTCTCCTAATGTTTTGTCTTCTATCACTAGAATAAAATCTGAATTTTAGTATATTTACAGCCTGGGACATGTGTAAAATCTCTCGGCTAATTGCGTCTCTCGGGTTTTCTGTGAACACGTTTTTTTCAGTTAAAATGGTCTTCAAAGTCCTCAACAGAAGATTGTGTCATTTCATGCCAGTTTCTGTTCTACCTTCCAGGTTCCGTGAGCACGCCTCCAGGGGTCGAAGATGTTGATAAATCGACGTCGGAGATCAGTTACTACACTCCTCAGTCAAATAGAACGCCAAGCCACTTTGGTGTGGCGAAAGTGGCCTCGCCCAACACGAGATATGCCGCACAGGATAACAGTACCTTAGAAGGTATGTTTTGGTTTGCGAATGGTCGGTTGAGTTTGTCTTTTCTACCATCCGGTTTGACTAGGCATCCCCATTTTCTTTGGTATACGCTCTTTTTTGTAAGTCTTCAAGTTCGCCCTGATGGCATCTGCGAGTCAGTCTAAGGACCCATGGCCTATTTCACACCCCTATTCGGATTGGATCCCAGCTGACACTTTGTCTTTTTGAAAAATTAATCCATTATACATAGACCGAGCGTGTGTGTCACACGTAGATGGGCCATTTAGCTTTATCAACCACTGTGCCCGATTCCGCCCGCAGACCTTATTCTGTCGGGCCCAGGTGGGTGAAAAAGAAGGAAGTGCGACAGGTGCGGAGCTCGTAGGCTATCACCGTAAACTGATTTACATGCCAGTCACCGATGCTGAACCTTCTCCGTCGTCCGCAAGGTGCACGTTGTCGTTCACGACGGGTGAACTGACATTACTTCTGTTATACTTATAGTTCGCTATGTGGCAAACTGCGAGGGCGTTAAACTGGCCACCAACTCGCGCCGGGAGGAGCATGTCCCGCAACCTGATTACAAATGCCCTCACCCCTACAGCATTTATATACAAATAAGGGTGTATCGACAAAGGAGGTCTGCATGGCCATTTCTGGATTACTAGCCATCGTCAGCTGGTCATTCGTGACCCCAATTTTGGGGTTCGATCTCGTTTGTTGTCTTATGTTGCCTCCAAAATCTCCGTAAGCTACTTACTTTCCCTTACAGTCTTTGTCTCTGGACCGAGCCCAGACTTCAGGCGTTCGCCCTTGGCGATGGAAGGCCGTCCAGTTGGGATCGAATGTCAGTGGCCGCCACCGACCTCCCCTGTCGTTACTTCTCCTCCTCGTCGTAAGTGTTCTCTCACAGTGTTTGACTCATCTGCCCTCATTTTTGACCACTAGACCGTCTAGGCCACATATGCCTTATATACAACTAATTAGGTCATTTGAAAACTAGTGGCAGCATTTCATTTCTTGGATTGTTTGTGGGCAGTCACGCTTGCATTACGGTTGGCAATACGTTTACTAATCCTTATATTCGTTGATGAACGTTCACCGACCACTTACGGAACGCAGTGGAATAACCGGTATGCTTTGTGAATAAGCAATACACCTGCAGCAAAAAGGAGGGAAGTCTTCAGATGGCAACACTGTGTTATGCCTGGTGTATGCATTTGTGCGCCTTTAGTCGTCGATTCTGGGCTTTACCTAGGCCTCCTTAGTGTATAACTGTTGCTGAAGTGTTCTTTGAAAAATGTAAGCTTGTTAAAATGTCCACGCGTTCCACTCGTTGTTGGTAAGTATTGTATTGTCTTTTTCAGCGGTACAGTTGGATGTTAGAAAACCAGAGCTGCCAACCAGAGGTTCTTGCGATGCAATTTTTTCGGGTTTCGCCAAATTCCAGAATGAAATCGATGATGCTAGAACCATGCCTCACGCAACATTGAGAAGGTCTTTTTCGGGTCTGTCTTCGGCCGATCAGGCGATTTATAACAGCTTACCCAGTAAGTCATTTCTTTTTCTCCTGTAAGTAAACCAAAAATGACCATCCCGGTCCCTCCTGTCTTTGTCGTCAGTATTTGCATGTTTTTCCCCCATAAAATTTTACCTTGGCTTGCTCTGCCCTAAGTCATGCTAGTACCAAAGGTTTATTTTTTCGAAATCTTTTTTCTTCTTTTCTTTGGTTTGATGTCTCTTTTCATCTGATTACAGCAGGCAGGTTTTATTATTTTTATGCAAGCAAATTATCCCATTTCCTTCTTGCATTCTTTTGCAGCACTTGGCCCTTCTTTTCACACTACGAGTCCTCGCATACCGCAAGTAGTCACGCAGAGTGCCACCACGTTGCAAGATGGTCTACTTCCATGTGATTCGCCGAGTAATCACAGACGGAACACCATGTCTTCCCTGACCCTTGACCGCCATATTCAGCCAAGTGAGTTTTTTCTATTGTAGCCATCGACGTATTAAGTTAAGGGCTCTATATCTTATCAAGTGCCTACAAATCGTCTATGCTGCTGTTAGGCCGTGTGTTGCTGTGGTATACTGTGCCCTCGTCACGGGACCACGCGGTAGGCGTACCGAACTAACTCGCAGAGCCACGACAAATGCCACACATGGGAAGTACGGTAACACGCCTAGGTGCTGGCTTACGCCGCGCCAGCCACTTGCGCCCGATTCCGCATCTGTCTGTCTTGACTCTATCCTACTGTCGGGCCTGATATTTTGCTCCGTAATATTAGTGGATCATCTAGGTGTCCGAAAACGCACCAATCCTCCTCTATCTGGGAAAAGGAATCAGCCCTTCTGTGTAACTCGTTTCTTCGGTTTGATCTTTATTAAATTTGAAACATCTCCTCTGAAGCAACATCCTAGGTAATAAATCGTATTTCAGCTTCTGTGTGGTCATTTTTCAATTGTAACTGATGGTGACTTGCTCGTGGTCTGAATTACGGTGAAGGGTTTTACGCAGCATCGTCTTCACTCTTCTCTACTTCCCGCTAATGTCGGTGGTAGTCAATGTTACCTTTAGCTCAGCAGCTTCGAGGCTCTTAACCTGTGTCTTTTATGAACTTAAATTAACGCCTTTCCGATTCCCATAAATGCTGACTTTAGCCGTGACATTCATCTCCTTCGTTTGGTAGTGTTTGCTCTTGTTGCAAGAAAGATGTTTTTCTAACGGTTTTTCCGTATGTGGTTGTTTATGTTTGGTCTAGACCAGCAAGATAACGAGCCCGTAGCTCAATGGTTTCCTGAGCAAGAAAATCAGTCACATGGGAAGGGCCGGTCGCAGCAACAACTCTGACGACAGCGGGCATAATTGTCCCGCCATTATCAGGCCCGCATCCAAAGCTGACAAGGCGATTGTGACAATTAGTTAATCGAACGCGAAGTGTCAAGCCGGTACCGCATCAATTAAGACCCAAGCGGTGGCTACAGAAGTGAGCAATATCACACGCACGCGAATGACCACTATGAACTATAAATATCGTGCAACCTGTGCATGTTTCAACCTTATCTGCGCATGACTATGTTATCATCACCCATAATTAAGGACTGCCGACAGAATCCGAAACATCAGGCAGATAAAACTCTTGTTTCAGTGATCGCATCCTCTTCTTCCGAACTGCTTCCTGGAACTCGCTTATTCTCCATTATTGGCAATGGTTAGAGCGTTGGCCTTCTGAGAAAAAACGTCGCGGGCTCTAACCTCGGGTGGTACATCACTTGGGGTTGGATGAGACTGGTTGATGACGGCTAATAAGCCAGAAATGGTCATTAAGTCTCCGATATGTTTGTCGGCAATGTTATTTGCTCGAGAATGTGTCCCAAAGCAGAGCGGGACGAATGAGCTTCGTCGGCGATCGATAAACGCTCATCAACTAGTATTATTAAACCGTCTTTTTTCCCTTAGTCTGTCTGACTGGCGAAGGAAGGAACTTGTCAGTCTCCCATCCGAACTTGCGAAGCACGAATGTGCAGCCTCAACCCGGCCTATCAGAGCCCCTGGGCCGGTCTCTCGGGAATTTTCTCACTGCTCCGCCGGCTATTTCCTCTCATTGTCCTTCGCCTATGACCTCTCCACGTGAGTTCTGCATTCTTTTTTCTCAATGCTTTTTTCCTGTCCCATTGTGTGCGACCTATCGCTGTCCTAAGAACCATTTTCTAATCAACGGTTCTTCCTGTTCTTATGTTTTATAATCAGGATTATTACAATGGTAAGCTATCAACTGGAGCCCATACTTTGCCATGCATTTAAAGGATGTATCGTCTAATAGACAATTTACATTTCGCTTTCGGTGTATGGGATACACGAGAACCAATTGTAGCCCTCTTGCGATTTGTTGTAATCCACGAGTGCAGTCAGAATAGGCACAAAAAATCTAAATTACTTTTTTTCTGTGGAGGGTCAGTTGTACTGTCTACTAGCAGTAAACGAACCAGAACTGGCTATGCCGCTCTCGCTTGTTTTCGTTGGCATTGGCGACTTGTCGTCGCTCTATCACCTGCCTGACCTCTAAGCCAGAATTTTAACTTGGAGTAGAATCTTCCATATTTCCCCTGGCAACCAGGACACCTCCCATTTTGCCAATACAAGCGAAAATGCGATGCCCAGGAGATAATTGACACAAAATAGATGCGATCGCTAGAACGAGAGTTTGATTCGCCTGACGTTTTGGATCCCTCCTCGAAGTCATCATCAGAAACAGTAGCAAAAACAGGTCTGCCACTGTTTCTGATGATGGGTTCGAGAGGGAATGCAAAACGTTCGGTGAATAAAGTTATTGTCCCATGGATCGCGTTCAATGTTCCCAACCTCCCTTATTCGCAAGGGAACCTTAACTTCCCAGTTGATTTCAGTAATTTAGTGGTAGGAGTATGCCCTTTTGTTTCATTTTGTAAAATGGAATCATATTCAGTCGTTTATTTTGTTCACTCCTCAACATTTTTAACAATAACATTTTAGCTGTCTTTCAGTTAGCTCTCAAAGACCTCTACATAGAATGGGGCGAAATACATGACACCCTTATTTTCAGCTTCACTTTTCCTTATGTCACCGTTCATTACTGTTATGTGTTTCTGTTATTTGCCGTTATTTAATGATTTTATTCCAGAGATCGTCACCAAAGCTCGGCCCCAGGTGACCTTGGCAGCTCCCCAATTGCATGTTCCCAACATCCATTCTCCCGCTATTAACACTACTGTGTCAGTCCCCGCCGCAGAAATGACCAAGTCCTCGTTGATTACAGCCCAACTTGACTCTATCTATCGTCCATGTTCACCAGAATTTTGTAAGCCACTTCCCTGGAATGCACTTTTTTGTCAAGCTTTTTTCACTTTCTATCCTCTCATCCAGGCCTATCTCTTCAGTAGACCGTACTGCATTCTTGTTCTTTTGGTTCTTTCTGCGTGCAACTACCAGCTCAACTACCCTCCGTGACCCAACACTCATTTGAACCAGACCGAGAACAAGTGTCATCCGCGGTTCCAAAGGCTGCTGGTGTTGACCTACAGTCAGCTCCCAGTTCCCTTCTCATCTCCAGAGTAGGATCCTACCCGTTATCTCAACTTCTGTCTGGTCAGTCAACTCCACCACCACCAGCGGCTGCCGGCGAGTCCTACGATTGTATGCATCCACTGCAAAGCACTTCCAGTAGAACTTCGTTTTCAGATGTGGACGCCCCTACTCTGAAGCTGCACGTCGACCAGAGGTGTGCTCTGAGCTTTATAGGGATCATAATTTTACCGTCCTTCTTTTATAAAGATGATAAATTCACTCCTACCCCAGGACAGCAAGCATTTCTGTTTGGTGGCGGCCTGTACATGTATTTTGTAGTTTATGGTCTATTCGAAGGTTCTCCAGCTGGTTTTCGCCAGATTTTCGTTTACTACATGTAAACGCATTCGCCACACTCAGACTCCGATGAGGAAAAAAACATACTGATCGGGCGGGTAAACGCGATGGCTAGACTGAACCTGCCAACATAGTCATCAGTGCTCCCCACTGTTGCGGGCTTCATGATCATTAGGCCCGGTTCAAGCAGGTCGGGGATCCAGCATGTTTGTGAGACGCATGAACTACAGTTCCTTTGTCAGGTTAGCCGCTGCGTTTGGTTTCAACCTCAGCCGACCTGTTTTGAAATTGCCCTATTTTCTTATTTAAAGGGAATAAGGCCGATTCTGCGTGATGTTTTTTTCAGTATAACAGTTCGATTGTCGGTTTTCACTATGCTCACCGTATGCTTCACAACAGGATGGTGGACAGACGGTGCCTTGCGCGTGAAGTAGTTTTAAGTGATAGTAGATTGGCGCGGTATCTATGCTCTCTATCTTCTTTCACCTACCTATGCCCGTTGTTAAG